GCCACCCCCTGTATAAAACTCTAGTTCCGCCACTGGTTACACATGTCCTGTTTCCACGTCCCGTCCTGACTGTTTTTGAGTGATGAAAATGTCCTGGTTTTCAAAAAAAAAAAAAAAAAAACTGCTGGGAAAGATCAGTCCTACAGCAAAATATAGATGGACAAACAAGGTGGACGAGGAAGAAAAACAGGATAAAGAGGATGAAAACTAAAGATAATAGATTTTGTTAGTTCATTTTTGTAAGTTTGTGAGAGCTATCTACATTTGGAGGCATTTCTTTTAGTTATTTATTATTTATATATTTATTTTTCTAATACAGAAGATACATTATTTCTATCATTATTTCATTCGTTTTTTTAATCTGTCATAATAAAACATTGAGACATGAATATGATTACCCTAGTATAGTATTCTATTATTATTTCTGTTTTACATTAAGCGCCATCTAATGTCAGGGAATGAATTTGCATGTTCATTCGGCTTATCGTCAGCGGAAAACGCTTGGGTGTGAACACAAAAAACGCGTTGAAAAACGCTGACGAATAACGCGCGCTGATATTCGTCCCAGTGTGTACGGGCCTTTACACTGATTGGTAAACTGCACTGTTTTATTAATTCACTCCCCCCTTACTTACCCTGATGTCAAAGATATCCATGTCTTTTTTTCTTCAGTCGAAAATAAATTAAGGTTTTTGAGGAAAACGTTCTAGGATTTTTCTACACAGAATGGACTGGTAACCAAAGATTCAAATTTTCAAAGAAGGTTCAAATGTCCGTCTCAACGTAGCTTCGAAGTCTCGACATGATCCCAGTCAAGAAATAAGGGTCTAATCTAGATCTAGTCATTAAAAAAAAAAAAAAAAAAAAATTACTAAAACAAATATAATATAATATAATATATATATATATATACTTTTGAAACTTCTTTGAACATTTGAATAGTTGGTGGCCATTGAAGTCCATTCTGTGTATAAAAAATTTAAGTGATACATGGATATCTTGGATGACATCAGGGTGAGTTTGAAAGTCAACTTAATACTTTAAGATGCTGGACATGAATATTAAATTAGCATTATTTTCCTATGTTTTTACATCAAGAAAATCTATATGGCTTTTGTGTAGGACATGCAGTATATGACATATATGATTAAAAAATATATTAATATTATGCAATTTATATATGTGGATTTTGCAGCATATATGTCCCTTACAATATTCTGTTGGAACATATAAGAATTACAGGTGTTTTTAGAAAACCTTTTCTATATGGGTGTTTAGTGTAAGGTTTAGCCTACGTTAGGGAGCATAAGTGATCGCTGACAAAATTGACCCTTCGCTAAGCCACGCCCGAAAACCGCCACTGGCCAATCATGTCTTAGCAACCGTAACTATGCGCGGGAGGTCTGGCAAGCTTTCGAACGAGGGAAACATGCTGAAGCATTGTGCCTATGGATTGTGCAAATCTGATACCGGTATACTAAAAGTTTGGACGGGGGAGAGGAATTGTTTTCCTTCCAGAAAATCTAAAAGCCAAGGGGATAAATGATTGGCGTGATCTAGCGTCTATGTGCGAGACCCATTCACAACTACTGGTAAGCATACACGCCACTGCTGCACACGACATTAAGACACGATTGTCGCATTTCGCCCCCTAGTGGCAGTAGCACATAATTTTAAAATGTATCATGCGCAGCCCTTACCTTCATTAATTTACCATGGTAGAATTAATAAAGATAAACTACCAGCATTACTTCTGAAGGACAAATATTATGGATTTTCTAGGACTTAAATAATTAATATTTATCTAATAATTATTTCAGACCTACACTACCTGTTTTTGGACAGTAAGATTTTTAAGAGTTCTTAGGACAACTTTGATGCACTTTTTTGATCCGCTTCAAATGTTGACTACTGTATATTCAAACAGAAACAGTTATTTTAAATGGTAAAAACTGTCTTTTAATGTATCCACGGCTCAAATCAGATCTCTGCAGATGGTTGGCACCTCACGCAGCCCCATTGCGACTCTCCATAGGAAATTAATGACTTTTGATCTATCGGACATTGTTTGTCATGTGAAAAGGCTGCTAAGTTTGCCGTATTCTAGTCATGGTGTAGTATAATACTGTGTAATGTAATGCTTAAAGGTGCTGTAAAAGGCCTTGATGATGTTTAATATCTGCTAACTCTTTATTGTGATGCTCCTCCAACAGACAATCTACTGACTATAAGTAACTCATTTGTCAACTTATTCTATCCCTAACCCTACCAGTCTACTAATACTCTACTAACACTATAGTGAGAGTCTTAGACCTGTAGGTGCAGCATTACTTATAGTCAACTGAATGGTTCCTTTAAAGGATGGTCCCTTTAACACATTCAGTTGACTATAAGTAATGCTGCAAATAAAAGTGAAACATGTTTTACGTTTGGGGAATAAAGAGGTAACAAAAATGTATTATACTGTAAGTATTATAGAAAAAAGGGGTACCTATTCAACTGTCATGATATAACAATCTTACATTTGGGAGCAATTTAGTGAGAACATACCTTCTTGTAATAATGGTGAACCAGTACCTATCCACAAGTTTCCTACGCCCCATGAGGCCTTGCGTCAAAAGTGGGCGCGACTTCCGGTTGGAAGTAAACAAGCGTGATTTAACATGCTTGACACTCGTTCATTCAACAGTAACAGTCATTCAAGTTATAGCGATCCAAACTAGCTAACGATGTGGGAACATAACCTCAACGAAATTCAAAAGGGTGAAATAACAGTACCTTTACCCTCCGCAGTAGTTGATTGGGAGTATTATAATAACATTATTAATAATCAATACTCATCAAGGCATGGTGACAGACAGTTGTGCGAGCTGACAAACAATTAAAATAAAAAATACACACTTAGTCATTGTGCTTTGGAGTTTATTCAAAATTATAAATGAATGTGCTGCTTGAATACATTAACTGGCACATTTGGTATTCTGTCAACACAGGCTTTGATCCTGAGTTTAGCTGTAACATCAGTAGCGAACAGCCAATCACATGCTGATAGAGTTTATAGAATATTAAGAATTTAAACAAATGTACACAGGAAGATTCGTCGTCTTTTGGGAGGTGATGGAAACTACAGTCGTTGGCAGGATCAGAGACGCTGGCAGGAGCACTCTGATTTCGTTTTCAGCTTATGTTCAAAACAATCACGTTTAAGCCACTGAACTAGTTTAATCCGGTTATACATACAACCGCGAACAGCACATGTTGTCCATGAACTCCGTAACACCATCTCTCATAAAGATTTGCGTCTTTAAATAGTAAAATAATTCTCCGAAAAACAGCTAGCCTCTTCGCTAACTAACACACAAAATACCATTGGAATGCTACTTCCGCCGCGTCACCGGAAGTTTCACCCACTTTATTTTTTACATGAGCGCCCCTCGGAAACTTGTGGATAGGCTGTTTAAAAATTACAGGGTACATATCTATGCATTTATAAACATAAAAAAAAGTCATCCTTTTTACAAAAGTGCGCTGACAACGAAAACTATTGCAAGTTTTACTTAAATATTGGGGAAAGATACTGTTGTTCCATGTAGGTACAGGGTAAGTACAATAAAAATGCATACAATCACTGACTCGGAAACCTTTATTTATTATACAAGCACCACTTACCCTTTAACCACATCAAACCAGATATATTTCCCAGTATATTAAAAAAAAAAACCAATGTATTATGTCAGGTAAATGTATCATCCGTTCAAAGACAATCAATGCAAAATATCAAATGTTCTGGAATAAAAAAGAAGACGAAGCGGACATTATGAAAGAGTCTCGCGAGTGTCCAGCCTCACGGGCTCATCTGAGATATACAGTAAAGGCCCTGATCTCTCGTTGCATTTCATTATATAGCCAGACCTCATTTCATATGTAAGCCTGAGTTCACAGTGGACATTTACTGTGTTCACCCCCAGATTTTACATGGTACCATTTGCTAACAGTGGGAATTGATTAGCATTGAGTTCACACTTTCTGAGAGCAACATACACTCCTTTGTGTGTACGTTATCTAAAAACCTTATTACCTTTCGTTTTACTTATTTGGAAATGAGACATTTGTACCAGTCGCACTGAGGCATTTCAAATAATACCAAACATGTATAAAAACCGTATGATAGTTGTTCAAATTAAGACCATATAGATTATTGATGAGTTGATCTCTGCAAGAGAGGATGACATGTAGATACGGTGGACTTTCGTCTCAGGGGAAGTCAAATGTTAATTTCCAGCACGGTCCTTCGTCTCATAGACCGGTGGTCTTACAACACCGTAAAATAAAGTGCTACTGAACATTTGCATTCATTTCTACACAATCTGCACAAAAGTCTTTTAACATGTATATTTGAAAAAAAACTTGAATGACACATCTCTGAAAAGTATCCTCCTTGGTTGAAATTGTGTACTGCAACATGTGAGGAGCGCAGGTACGCAAGAACAGTGAGTTTACGCTACGGATTAAAATATAAGAGCACTCCACCCACTATACCAGCACTTATTACAGCTCTTTCAATAAAACTGACATAGACATCTCAATCTTTATTTGGAACGTACGTCACAAAATATAACTAATTTAGATGAAGTTTTATAATAATTTTAACAATAGTGTCAGCTGCACTTTTAAACATTTAATTTTGAATGGCTTAGTTTCAAGTACAAAAATGTTGCTACTACTGTACATTTAACATGAATGAAGCAGAAGTGTCTTATTTTAATCATTCTGTCCCTCAATATCAAGATTATGATTTGTTTAGATTACTTTTGATGGACTTCAAACCAAATACTTTTAGATTTAAGCATAAATAAGAGCTGTGTCGCAAGCAAAGACACTTTCAGGGTTCAACCAGATCATAATGTTAGAGAATCTCTGGATCTTCGACTCCAGCAGTGTGGTCAGTCATCTAAAGAGACACACACACACATGCACTGTATCGAATCCTCGAGGAATCGTCTTCACTGGTAGATCCACTGCATTGCTTTTTTTTCTTGTTTTGCCAGATCTGAACGGTCAGTTGCAGCTGCTTTAATACAGAAACAGATTCCAGTGGCCATTCCCAGCAGAGCCAGAGTCATTCCCAGTCCACAGAACAGCACTTCATAGTAAATCCATTCTGCTCTTGGGATTTCATTAGTATGTACACATGCGTCATTGATACGGATATAAATGGGAATAACAGAAATGATAGTGGTTTGGTTGATTTTCTGCTCTTACCCCAGATCTTGGTCTGTGGCCGCTGGAGGGCTCTGTGGTTCACCGTACAGCTGTAAATGTCTCTGTGTTCAGGAATGATCTTCAGGGAGGAGAACACGTGGAAGACTCCATCGGTCCTCGGCCGGCTCTGGCTCAGACTCACGCCTTCTGTCACCATCACGTTGTTCTTCGTCCAGGAAACGTTGACCGGCGGAGGGAAGAACCCCGTCACGTGACAGATGAGGGCGTTCTCAACCCCCGGCTGGACATCATTCTGCGGATAGATGGAGGTCTCAGGGGGGTCTGAGGACACAGGACACGGTTAAACTCTGCTGGAGTGAATCGGACCTCACTCAGATTAAGATCTTTCATAGGAAAACTAGCACATGTAAGTGTGAGACAAAACTTAACGAAAAGCTACACTCCTGAAATTATGTTTAATCTAACCAATCAAAGCCCTTGCTGTCTGCGTCGCCTCGACGCGTAGTTACACATTTTTGGAGGTGCACGTCGAGCTACGGCGGAGGGGTCGGAGAGGGGCTCGTGTCGACGGATAGGTGTCTGCGGGGGTACGCCGTCGATTCGACGCAGAAGCATAAAACAGGCTTAAAGGGTTAGTTCACCCAAAAATGAAAATTAAGTCATTAATTACTCACCCCCATGCTGTACCAACCCCGTAAGACCTTCGTTCGTCTTCGGAACACAAATGAAGATATTTTTGATTAAATTTGAGAGCTGTTTAACTACCACATTGGCTCCTAAGGGACTGGCTCTTGACGGCCCAGAAAGTCAATGAAGAAAATGTTTAAATATCCCAAGTGACTACCGTGGCTCAACTATATGTTTATCAAGCGACGAGAATACTTTTTGTGCGAAAAAAACAAACAAAAATAACGAGTTTATTCGACTATTCCTTTTCTTCCTTGTAGGCCAGAAAAGCAATAACATCCAACTGCGGCCACAAATGGACGTTCTCGTGCTGGTGGGGGTTTCCGCGTTTTCGCAGACTGAAACGCCCCCACTCCAGTTATTCGAGATATTACAACATTCTCCAGTTATTTGGGACAATATAACAACATTCTCCAGTTATTTGGGACAATACAACAACATTCTCCAGTTATTCGGGATAATATAACAACATTCGCTAGTTAGTTTTTCTCAAACAGAAGTTTCAAAATAAGATCAGTAGTCTGTAATGTTGCGGTTAGCATAAAACTGCCAACATCCGGGTTAATATAACATTCTATTCGGGATAATATAACAACATTCGCTAGTTAGTTTTTCTCAAACAGAAGTTTCAAAATAAGATCAGTAGTCTGTAATGTTGCGGTTAGCATAAAACTAACGTTAGCAAGCTAAGCCATCTACAGAATGTTAATCCAATTACATAAATAAAATTACGTGTAGGACAAGTTTATCTCAGTCCTAATTTGTCTTTAAGCATAGGCAGACATCAGCTAGCATCTAACTGACTAAACCAGCTTTTAAGCCAGCTTGATTAGGATTAATTTACTGTTATTACAACAATCATTTTAGGGAGGCTCCATAGTAGCTAAATATGAGAATGTTGTGGTTGTGCAGTAGCCTACATGTTCATTATCTTCTACGAGTTGAGGACACAGCTATCTCTATAGCCATCCCCTAGATACAAGTTAGTTGCTTCAAATAAAGGAACCCTTTGAGATCCAGTCCGAAACCAATACAGTTGTTGAAGAATATGTCTGAATTTAATAGGCTAATGAATAGATTAAAATAACACTTGGGACATTGTGCAGTTTCAGTCCAGTTACCCAGACACACTTTATGAAGGCTCAAACAGTAGGCTATCGCAATTTGACTCCAAGGATTCACTTACTCTTCCCACAGGCCCTTTAGATGTTTTCAAAAAAAGACAAAATACTGTAATTTCTCTTGATCAATTTACTTTTGAACATTGTAGTACGTACAGTATAAAACAGATTTATTGGCATGCAAAACTGAAAGGGATAACACAATAAAACGTGTCAAATAAAACAAAAGAAAGGAGTAATAAAAGTGTTGACGACGTTGTTCTAACCACACAGACTCAGAGAACAACACTATGGTAGGCAGACATCTTCAATCAGATACCTGCCATAAGCCATGTGCCTCAGCACCAGGCGTGCGCTCGGCCAGTTTCTTCTTTTGGAAAAGCCTTTCAGGCGTAGTGCAAGGCCACTGCCACGACCTGCAGTCTTATAAATTTTTCGAACAGTTACATGCATCAGACTGTCTTTAAGTTTGAGGTCCCCAGCCAAACTCTCATTAATATAAACTGAGGGGTGGAATGGCTTTGCGAGTTCCCGGAAAGTTTTAGAAACTCTGTTGAACACGCCAAGCATAGCCATGTCTAAACTCAGAGTCTCTTCAATAATACGCTGAAGGACTGCAAGTGGCAAGAATGGACTGTCCTCTGTAATGGGTGTGCCTGATGGACAGCTTAGAGATTGGAAGGGGCGGCTGACATGGGGAGATGGAGAGGGTGAGATGGGTGTGTCAGCTAGTCCTGCAGGGCTAGAGAAAGAAATTAGAGATCAGTATATTGGCTACCATCTTAATGAGCACCAAATAAAAGGAAATAGCAATATATGAACACAGTATAATACTTTTCGCTGCTTGGTGATAGGAAGTGGTGGCTAATATGGGGAGATGGAGAGGGTGAGATGGGTGTGTTGGCTAGTCTTGCAGGGCTAGAGAAAGAAATGAGATCAGTATATTGGCTTCCATCTTCATGAGCACCAAATATAATTAAATAGCAAAATATGGACGCAGTATGCAACACCTTTCAAGTGTAAAGGTCTCAAGCAGTTGTCCACACCACCACCTCCTGATAGAGAGCATGTCCACCTGAAAGTAATGTTATGCTCTAAATGTCTTCATAGGCTGACACAAATCCATGTTACAGTACTTATGGGACTGTACAGTACAGATATGGGAACTATGGCAGTGTACATTTTTACAGATGTAGCCATCTCCTCCAGTGAGTACAGTAACTGCAGACAAAGTTAAGTGTATGGCCTATTGGTGCATGTTAACTGTAGCCTCCAAATTTGGACTAAATTATTAAAAGCCTTATTTCACACTACAAATCTGAATGAGATTTGAACGAACTCACCTCAACGAAATCGTATGGCTTTTGGAGGCTAGAATACATTGCATACTGAAATAAACATACAAATGTGTTAGTTGTTCTGCAAACTAGTAATCAGTTATCACTTCTGAAAATATTTCATCTCACCATCAGCATAAACACACCACAGCTGTTGCTCTGATGCTGGGGAGATGCGCCCTATGATGGTAAAAGGGGTGTGTGATTTATTATCAATGATTCTTATTAAATGATGCCTACTGATATCTACACTCATTTTGCAGCTTTAATCATACAAAAAGTGACACAATGTGCTTTAACCTTCCATTTAGCAGCAACTAGGTTCATTCTGCGTCACTGTCAAATCATAATAAAAAATATAAAGAGGCCTGCCTATGTACGCTACTCTACTAAATGCAATGAATCGTGCTACAGCCACACATTTTACCTCGTCAGCCAAGTAAAATGACCTCCATGGTCCATTGGACACAGCATGTGCCAGGTTACTGAAAAGGTTTGGAAGACGTGTTAGTTGCAATTCATGTCTTTCAAATGTAACATTGAACCCCGTTTAGGAATTGCTGAATCTCTACCATGACTTGATACCCACCTTGAGCCCTAAGAGCATAGTTTAAAAATGGAACTACACCTTCCTATGCTAAAAAGTGACCTGGGAGTAGCAGCAATTCCTAGTAGGGACTTGGAACGTATGGAACATATGAACAGGAAAAATAAATGCAGAACGAAACAAAAAGGAAGTATAGTCCAAAACAGAACTACCATACTTCCAAAAAACATAAAACAATCATACTGCATCTAATTTCTTGGGTTCTCAAAGCAGTATTTGGGAGGTATAAATAAACAAATTCTAAAGTAAAGATGCAGATGAAGTTTCTAGTGAATTTGAATTTGAATTTTTTTTTTTTTTTTTATTTGATCAGGGACAATGCACAAAAAATCATTGATCTTAGAAAGAAGAGATGACAATTGCTTTGAATAGAAAAATAATTACTGCTGCAAGACCCAGAGTTAGATATGAACATAGAGACCAGTAGACAGCTTTCTATGAAAAACCTGAAAATTTCTAGGTAGCGGCCATCTCCAAAGCCACTGGATTGTCTTGAATCAAAATATTGCATAATCCTCAGTCTTGGTTTGAGAACCTGTTAAGAGTTTTATTTCATGGAATGACAAGATAAAGGTTGGTTAAAGACCCAAATCTTGCTTCAAACAAAATTACAGTTACAGTAAATAGTAGGGCTGTGTATTGGCAAGAATCTGTCGATCGATACGAATAATGATACAATATATTGCAATATATTACGATACTGTGCATAAGGAGATATATTGTGTTTTTTTTTTTAAAGTAGGACTATGATTTTAGAAAAAGTAATATTTAAAAAAAAAAAAGAAATGATGTGCATTAAAGTCAGACAAGTTTACTTTAAGTAAACAATTCAGTACACATAAAATCAAACTGCCAGTTTGGGATTGTGGTTCACAGGTTCTTAGTGAGCAAATTTCCATTGTTTGCATTTGCACCATATAATGGAAACCTTTTTTAACCACACTGAGCTGGCACATGTCTTTACAAATGAAATAAACAGAGTGGGTTCTTTTGGTTGCACGAGTTGAAGTCATTGGTAATTTGTGTATTTGAACTTGAGCAAGGGTGAGTTGTGAGTAGGGATGGGAATTGACAAGATTATCAATACCACTGACGATTCTGCTTATCGATCCGATTCTTTAACGATTCTCTTATTGATTCCTGATAGCACTGTGTGGAAAAAGTAGTTCAGCAAAATTCACACCCAGCGGTAATTCAGGGGAAAAAAAAAAGAAAAAAAATCTCTGAATGCTCCACATGAAACTTTTCCGACCTTACCATCGTGTCGATTTATTTTGATTAATATGTGCGAGGAGAGAGAGCAAGACAGCGCTTAGATTAGAGACTGTATACTTTCATCTGGCTCCGCAGAGAGAGAGAGTGCCCGCGCGACCGGGCCTCCGAACGAGTACCGCATGAAATGTACCAACAAAGCATGAATGAGGATTCAATAATAACAGCACAGAATTTCACATAGAAAAAAAGCCATGTCAAAGTGGGTTTACTCACACACAATGTCCAGTGCCCCGGTTGCCAGGCAGGGAGAAGCACCACGTCTTTGGATGCAAAGTCACACTGAGGAAAAAAAAAAAAAAGTTCAAAGAGGAACTTGAACATGAGGTTAAAGCTGAAATACAAGTTCTGTTACATTACTACTCACAATCATTTCAGCAATCGGAGAAGCCTCATATGGAGGAAGCCAGGTGACCACCACATAGGCATCCACAGCCATGGTTGCAATGCCCTTTATCCCTTTATGACCTGCCATAGAACAGTTCCACCAGAGTATATCTTTCTATTTTTACATGCTGTGCTGTCATTCTTTTGAGCATTTTCACATGCCATACATCAAAATAATCCTTACTTTCTCTACTTGAAGGCTATGTTTGTAATAAATCAATAGTACCTAGATAAATATCTCAAAAATGCAATAAACAAAAAGAAAAACAATTTTTTTGAAAAAAAATCTCCATATTTTATTCAATACAAAAAAATGATAAATGTAAACCTCAAACTTGTCAATGAGAAAAATGTGCATAAAACAGTTTAAAACTATACAGAATTGATTTGAACTGTTTACATCACTTAGTTTTTAAGATACACTCATTTAAAAAAGGGGAGTAAAATGCCATATGTAAAATATTCAATTACATTTGTGGTCAAACAGATAACATTTTGCTTTTGAACATTGATTAAACATTGAATTGGTTAGAATATAAATTAAATAGACCCTGTCAGAACAATTAATAATAAAATAAATATAAAATAAATAAATAAAGGCGATGAGCAGAAGGAATTCGGTGCGTCCGTGTACTTTCATTTTGACATAACGTTGCGCGCATGCGCACACGTGTGTGTGTGTGTGTGGGGGGGGGGTGCGTGTGTGTGTGAATGTGCTTGTATTTGCGAGTGTATAAACGAGAAAGAAATGATAGAATGAAGCAATGGTAAAAAAGACAATAATGATAAGAAGGAACATATAGCAGATGGGAGTCAAGTGCGAGTCAAACCTATTATATATTCAGTCAAACGCATGGCCAAAAGACGCTGCTTCTGACGTCACTACATGCGACACAAGCTGGGGTCAAAGTGCACAGGAAGTGATGTCGTGATCAGTCCATGGATCCGTCATCGGAAGACGCAACTACCAATTGCGGATCTATAGCACATGTGTGCAAAGACGTGCAATGCATTTTTGTGTGTTTTTTTGGTAACGCGCATTATTACAGACTCATTAGAGGGTGGAAACCGCGCAACATGAGCATGTTGAGGCTTGATCTGCCATGTGCACCGAACGTGATACCTCAATGCGCCATCGGAAGGCGTCACTATCAATCGCAGATCTACAGATCATGTGTGCAAAGACGTGCAATGCATTTTTGTGATTTTTTTGAGAAACGCATTTTGCGCATTTTGTACAGACTCATTAGAGGGTGAAAACAACGCAACATGCGCATGTTGGAGGCTTGATCTGACAATTTTACATCTCTGGTTTTGTATGCAAAAAGAATGATTGAGCTAGCCACTTGGTTTCAGTTTCTATAGGCTGTTAAACAGACACACGCAAACCGGAGCGCCGACGCTCCCGTCGGTCTTAAAGGGTTATTTGAAAACAGATGCATAAAACTTTGTGTAGGCAACAAAAGTATACAGTCAGGAAACATGAATGCACAGATTATGTTAAATGTAATAAATTTAACTTACACGTGCATTTGCAGCCTTGGCGATAATGTTGAAACAACAATTTGCGATCTAAAAAAAAAACAATGATTAATTAGTAAGACAATTAATCAGCTCACACCATAGGAAATACAGTTAAACACTTGGTTCAGATTTACCGTTGCTTCAACATCTCGTTCTAGGCCCAGAGTCCAAAAGTCAGACCTTGTGAGGATCGAGTTGTTGGCTTGAACAATTTCCTCCTCAGGGTCACCCTTAATATCCAGTACATAGTCCAGCTATGGGGAAATATACAGAAAATTATGCATATTTAAAATGTCTAATTCACAAAAACTAATCTCAAACTTACTAATTCACAGAGTCTTGCGTTTGGTTCTTGTTTCCAATTAGCAACTGTAAAGTTGGGATTAGTGCGGCCAACAGCTGAGGACAGCGACTGTAACCTTGAACCTAATTCAAAATAAAGAGATGAGACAAAAATGATTTGAAATGTGTTATTGGATCAATATACACAATCACTAATACAATGCATAAAATATATAAGATTTACTTGCGTTTAGAAGGTGGTAAAAAATCTGGGTCTGAGCTAAACCCCATTTCTGCTGGCTGAGAGGAGGCGGCAACAACTGGATCTGGGCTAAGTTCTACTGGTTGAGAGTAGGCAGCAACAACTGGGTCGGGGCTAAGCCCTGTTGGCTGAGAGGTACAGAATTCTGCCTGACCATGCTCATTGAGACACAGCTGAATTTCAGGAGTCACAAGCTTCTTTAATTCCTCCTTGATCTTCTCATTCTTCCACTGATTGTAATTGTGAATAACGTTACGCATCATGAAAACATGAGCAGATGGCGAGAGCATGTTCATGTAATAGTTGTTTTTTTTCATGGTTGAGAAGAGTTGTTCTGCAACCTGGCTGTTAATTCTCCCTGCCAGTTCAGGTACCATCTTTATCCTCCGGAGGATATCTTTTGGGTCTTTGGTGTTTCCCTCATGGAATGTGTCGTAGAGACAGTAATGGTCTGCTGACCCAGTCAATGGATGGCCACCCGGGTCCGGCACAGTTTTCCTACTGTTAAGCCATGGTAAATTGACCATACCACCATTGGATGCGTACTGCAAGTTTTCATGGCTGGGGTCCAACAACCTACCCTCATGAGGACTGAAAGGTATCGTCTCAGGCTCTCTAAGGTTAGCATGCACAGCCAGACCTCTTGCAAAGTCATATATGCATATGTTGGGCATGTGTTTCCAAGACAACAATAAGTCAGTAAAGTCCCTAGGACTTTCTGCCCTAATGTTAAATTTCAGCGAGACAACCTGTCCACAGGGGCACATAACAACAGCCCAGCCACCTGAGGAGAACAAGTGTTTAAGGAAGTCAAACTAAAATACCAGCAGTAAACCTCATGAGAAAAGATCCACATTGTTGGGACATTTTTTTTTACTTACCAGATGCTCCCCAAACCTTTTGAAAGATTTTATCAAATTTTCTTCGGGTTTTCATTTCTTCTCTCAGCCTTAAAACTAACTCCATTTTGGAACCTTGGGAATCAATTCCGCACTCCCTGCAGAGCTTTCGGATGGCATGGACCTGCAATAGATTACCAAAATAAAGGTGTACACTGTAAACACATTTATACTAGCTATATTGATTCTATAGAATAAACAAAACAAAAACAAAAACAGACGCGTTTACCTTCAAATTGGATATTTCATCCAATAGCCTGTCCTCTGTTACGTCAATCTCTGTCTGTTCTTTTGGGTGCCTTGTTGTGTGGACCTTTTCATGCTCTGTATTGAGCACTTTGTTGGATTTGCGGGTGTGAGGTCCAATCCACGGGGCCCAGTGGTGGTATGTAGGTTTAACGGCAAAAGGATTTTGTTTATCACCTGATAAACAAAAAATAGTCTGCATTGATGGCTAGAAATTAACTTTGTAATTCTTAAAGTGGAGTGAGAAAGACAGGGGGGAAAAGGTAACAAAGGAATTATATCTCTCTGGGAAACATTATAAACAAACAATATATTTAAAAAGTCACTTACTTGGAACAAAACCACGTGCAATCCTCTCTAAACATAGAGAGTCCCAGAACTCATCAATGTCCACCTCCCCATCAAATCCATCTGGTGGATCCTCAAGTTCACTGACTAAAATAAAATAAACTATCAATATACTGTTTAGACCACCTGGAGGGGTTCACCAAACAAATAAAACCTGTATTGTACCTGCCAAGCTGAAGACACAGCTCTTGTGGAGATCCATGACCACCACAGGAGGGTGATGTCCACAGCGGACACAGGAGAAGTTATAATCATGCTCTGTCAGTGCTTCAAAATGTAGATATCCATGTATTAGGCTATTTTTGTTCGGGTACTGCTGTCCCGACGTCAGCTCCCATGTCTCGATGGCTCGACCCAGAGCTGTGTGAGTCTGGAATAAAACAATAATAAATTAGAAAATGTAATTCCATGCAAGTGTGCAACTGGGAAAGTTCCAATAATGCATTTAATGACCTAATGTCATGACTGTCAGCTAAGAAGCCTCATCCTGCACCTGAGTTCTAATTGCTTAATTAATGGCCTACTGTGCATAACGATATGGAATATCAGAGTTACACATTTAACATGCAGTATGGTCACATAATATTCATAAATTTCACGTATTAAATATTTGACCTGGAGGCAGTTCCGAAGATACAGGCAAAAATGGAGAGTTAGAATGACTTTGTCATTAAAGTTATGCAAGCCATCCTCCCATTCCTGGTATCGCACCATCATTCCACATCTACTGCATTTTTTCCCATAAGTTGTCACACCTGAAATGCATAAGAAGATCATTGGAGCATTTAGTGGTATATACAACTTGGAAAAGGAAGAATAACTGTCAATTTTAGTTTAAATGTGAGACGGACCCTCAATGATTCCCTTGACAGTGATGATTTTTGCTGATTTGCTGATGATCAGGGGTTCACCAAGAGGAAAATCACCAGGACATTCAGGACAAACACACTCTTTGGGCATCAGATGTTTAGGCACGTCTGACTCACTTGTCAACCCATACACATTTGCAGGCAAGTTTGCAGGAAGCCTTTTCTTATTGTGAATGTACCTAACAATTCTCCCCAAATCCTGATCTCGAGGAGGATACTGAAAATCGCTTGAGGTGACAGTTTCCACCTTGTCTTCAGAGCCCTGACTATCTTGAGTATCCTCGCTCTCATCTCCCGTGAAGAGCTCCTTTCTTGTCTGGAAAAAGTGCCATTTCGCAATGGCCTTGTGGACACAGGCCTGTTTAGCTTTAACACAATGGCAACGCCACGTGTTATTTGCTGTGTCAAACATGACCATCACTCTGCCAAACTTGTTATAGTAAGACACATTTGCCTCATAAATGGAAACATATCTTCTCGAGGAAGAGCTTCCCACCTCAACATCAACACTGAAGGGTATTCCTGCAGCATTTGCAGCCATTTTTTTCAGAAGACATGCCCTCTTCCGCTCCTCGCTGAACCACCTGCTACTGACAATGTCCCTCAGAACATCCTCCCTTAGTTCTATCTGAGGGCTGAGGGGTGATGGGCAGTATTGCAGGGACTGCAGATGGGCACAATCAAAGGATATAAACCCACTCCTACGCATCACCTCAGTGTTGTGCACACAGGCATCCAGCTCATAACGAATTTGATGGCTTGTCCCCCACGTCCGCTTCTGTACATGAATGGGTGCACTATTGCTGCTGAAGGACTTTACAACAGCAAATATTCCCCTTTCAATCTCTATTGGCTGACATGCCAGATGACGGTCGGCTGTAATGTGCTCCTTGACAGTTGAGTGGCGACGTCTCATATGCTGCTTTACATTTTTTTTATTTAGCACTAATTCACACTTTGTGCACTTCACCTTTCTGACCCTCGAACGTAGGCCAACTGTTTTTTTTGGTTGATGAAGCTCTACCATGGCCTCCACAGGGTGAAGCCGGGCTTCAACCATGGCCTCCATACAGCTTAGTGGGCCTTCTGCTGGCCGAGGGTGGTCTTCTGCTGGCCGAGTGTGGCCTTCTGCTGGCCGAGGGTGGCCTTCTGCTGGCCGAGGGTGGTCTTCTGCTGGCCGAGGGTGGCCTTCTGCTGGCCGAGTGTGGCCTTCTGCTGGCCGAGGGTGGTCTTCTGCTGGCCGAGTGTGGCCTTCTGCTGGCCGAGTGTGGCCTTCTGCTGGCCGAGGGTGGCCTTCTGCTGGCCGAGGGTGGCCTTCTGCTGGCCGAGGGTGGTCTTCTGCTGGCCGAGGGTGGCCTTCTGCTGGCCGAGGGTGGCATGTGCTGAGGTGTCTAAGCAGTTGTTTTTTTCTTTGAAAAATTTGAATACAAGCACAGCAGTGGTAGTGGGACTCCTTTCTGCAGCCCCATTTGCAGATATACATCACAAACTCTGAAAGGAAGGTAAAAAAAACAAAGCAGGCTTTAATAACTGGTCCAAACACTTCACCTTTCTGACCCTCGAACGTAGGCCAACTGTTTTTTTTGGTTGATGAAGCTCTACCATGGCCTCCACAGGGTGAAGCCGGGCTTCAACCATGGCCTCCATACAGCTTAGTGGGCCTTCTGCTGGCCAAGGGTGGTCTTCTGCTGGCCGAGTGTGGCCTTCTGCTGGCCGAGGGTGGCCTTCTGCTGGCCGAGGGTGGCCTTCCGCTGGCCGAGGGTGGCCTTCCGCTGGCCGAGTGTGGCCTTCTGCTGGCCGAGGGTGGCCTTCTGCTGGCCGAGGGTGGCCTTCCGCTGGCCGAGGGTGGCCTTCCGCTGGCCGAGTGTGGCCTTCTGCTGGCCGAGGGTGGCCTTCTGTTGGCCGAGTGTGGCCTTCTGCTGGCCGAGGGTGGCCTTCTGCTGGCCGAGGGTGGTCTTCTGCTGGCCGAGGGTGGCCTTCTGCTGGCCGAGGGTGGCCTTCTGCTGGCCGAGGGTGGTCTTCTGCTGGCCGAGTGTGGCCTTCTGCTGGCCGAGTGTGGCCTTCTGCTGGCCGAGGGTGGTCTTCTGCTGGCCGAGGGTGGTCTTCTGCTGGCCGAGGGTGGCCTTCTGCTGGCCGAGGGTGGCCTTCTGCTGGCCGAGGGTGGTCTTCTGCTGGCCGAGGGTGGCTTTCTGCTGGCCGAGGGTGGCCTTCTGCTGGCCGAGGGTGGCATGTGCTGAGGTGTCTAAGCAGTTGTTTTTTTCTTTGAAAAATTTGAATACAAGCACAGCAGTGGTAGTGGGACTCCTTTCTGCAGCCCCATTTGCAGATATACATCACAAACTCTGAAAGGAAGGTAAAAAAAACAAAGCAGGCTTTAATAACTGGTCCAAACACTTCACCTTTCTGACCCTCGAACGTAGGCCAACTGTTTTTTTTGGTTGATGAAGCTCTACCATGGCCTCCACAGGGTGAAGCCGGGCTTCAACCATGGCCTCCATACAGCTTAGTGGGCCTTCTGCTGGCCGAGGGTGGTCTTCTGCTGGCCGAGTGTGGCCTTCTGCTGGCCGAGGGTGGCCTTCTGCTGGCCGAGGGTGGTCTTCTGCTGGCCGAGGGTGGCCTTCTGCTGGCCGAGTGTGGCCTTCTGCTGGCCGAGGGTGGCCTTCTGCTGGCCGAGTGTGGCCTTCTGCTGGCCGAGGGTGGTCTTCTGCTGGCCGAGGGTGGTCTTCTGCTGGCCGAGGGTGGCCTTCTGCTGGCCGAGGGTGGCCTTCTGCTGGCCGAGGGTGGTCTTCTGCTGGCCGAGGGTGGCTTTCTGCTGGCCGAGGGTGGCCTTCTGCTGGCCGAGGGTGGCATGTGCTGAGGTGTCTAAGCAGTTGTTTTTTTCTTTGAAAAATTTGAATACAAGCACAGCAGTGGTAGTGGGACTCCTTTCTGCAGCCCCATTTGCAGATATACATCACAAACTCTGAAAAGAAGGTAAAAAAAACAAAGCAGGCTTTAATAACTGGTCCAAACACAAGTGCCTTCTTGACCACAGTTAGTGTCCTCACCTTCTTCATATCAACACAAAGATTAAATATCTAAACCAATGAATCAGTAAACATACCTCCATGCTGTACCACTGTTTTCAAATGGGACTGTAAATGTGTTTCCACTTTTGAGTAGTCACCCTTATAATGTGGGCAAAATGGGCAGTGGAGAAATTGGCATCCTTGCTCAAAACACCTTGTCGGCTGGGGTTTCTGACTGCTCTGCAGAATTGACAGATGTAGCTATAGATAAGAGATATAAATGAAGAACATTAACCAAGCTCAACTTACTTTTCTCCCCTTCCTAGCACTAGCTACTACCTGATTGAATTCAAGGAATCTTCAGGTGAGAAACTTAAAACTCTGTTAAACAAACAAACTATGTGAAAACGAAGTTAGTAAACAATGTGCGTTTATAAATTATATACCTGTAGAAGACTGTTACTTACCACCACCAAAATGCTCCCCCCCAAAAAAGCGTGCCCACCAATGTTATCGGTTACCAAAAAGAAGCAGCGTGGCCGCTACATCATGCCTCTTAGCTAAAACGTTAATAATATTAAATTCAAACCTGATAATACATTTCATATATTGAAATACATTGTATAAATTACAGTAATTTCACTTAAATGGCAATGAAAATTATTCATTGTATACAAGTTTAGTAATTTCACTTAAATGACAAGCTTGATAAAAATGATAATTCTAGAAGAAAATTGAAATAGCACTTAGCTTTTGCATCTGAATATTCTGTTACTAAAACCAACACACCCTTTGAAGTTGAGATGAAAAACTATGAAATTTAAATGAATTTACTATCAGGGTTGAATTGGATTAACATTTATCCTGGATTTTAAAAATAACAAAAATACCTGCGTGGAAATCTTTTAGGTCCAAGCAACTCTATATTCATAAAAAAATATTTTACACAAATTTATTTGCGCATCTGAATAAGCATTGGTTTTGCATCACTATTGACAGTTAAACAAACTGAAAGCAGTTATTTATTTTAACAGCATAACGCACTATTAGAATTTTGGGATCGATTTATTAAGGTCTTCACTCAAAATATAAAACTTAGTGGTAATAGTAATGTTGTTGAGACAACAAAGTTTATTCTTCCTTTTTGAAAAATCCACAGAAATGGCATACCCAAACTGAAACAGATACAGTTCATGAACCCTTTGTACTAAAAGCACAAGTCTCATTTGAAAGCTGACACCTGGCAGATTATTGTAAATGTAGAATTACAAATAATAGTTATAAATAGCTTCAAAGTTGTGTCAAGTTATTAGAAATTTATTTTTATGAAATATCTTCATGAAAATAAAATTGAAGTTGGAATTGTACCAATCTAGAAATGCACTGCATCTAAAGCCATGTCTGACCATGTTATATTTACCATCTGAAGATGAAACTTCAGATGGTAAAGGTATCGACTAATTTTTGGATTACTTAACTACAGACACAAATTAAGACATAACATAACTGTCACTATAAGTTTCTCAGAGTACAACAGTGGTAAAATACTGATAACCTTAAAAATAACCTAGAGTCGACTCATATCTTTTAATGATGCATAGTTTGTCAAGGTAATAACATTAAATCTGATAGTAACTTTGAACTATAAAAAAAATAACACCTTAGTGCGCCGACGCTCTGACAACGGTTAACAGGTTTAAGTTAGCTATGGCTAAGACGAGATAGCATGACATTAGCGGCTACCGAACCTTGCTTGCCGCGATTATTAATATCGGATTCGGATACCATATAAGAAGACACGACAGCTATGTCAATGACATAAATGAGAATACTTCCCAGTCAATGTTGTAGAAATAAACAAAAGCCTACTTACTGACATAATCGCTCATCGATTGACCGCTTGACTACTACTTCTCCCGGGAAATTTAAAGGAAATGACATCATACCCAGTGTGCCTTGCGAAACTCTTCGTGATTGGACGATGAAACGCTATCAGGAACGCCCGATGGGCTTTCTAGTGTCATTACGGGAACGCCCAAGCCGCAGCTGGACCCTCCTCCCCGAGGGAGGCAACGCAGCCGCATCATCACTTCCCAATGACTCAGGCTCGCCTTGTGATGCCGCGATCGACATCGCGTCCTTCCGTAGAAAGTCCCGCCTGAATCCTCGCGGCACTCGCGGGTTGCGACACTGGAGAGGGGGGCGTGGTCTGAGGACGTGTCGTCGGATCACTCCACACCGTAACCCTCAGATCACCCGGTCCCCCAGCCGAACTACTAGCCCTGTTAGAGGAAGCAGAACGGGTGGTGGATGCGGGGACTCTCACTTTCAGATCATTGAGTCTCAATCTCAGTGTAGTGGTCATGTTCCCACAAAAAGATCATAAGTCATCCACGAGTGCTGCTTTTGCATGCTCAAAGCCCAGACACACAAAAAAGCACTCGTGCCCATCAGAGGATGACAGATAACAACCGCAACCAGAAAAACACGGGCGAGACATCTTTAAAAAGACGCGCACTGTGCACTCTTTTAGAAGAGGAAGCTCTGCAGCGCTGAGGCGACCAGGGAGAAACCACAGAGTTCGGCAGACCGCAACACAGACGGCAGGCAAAGTGAAGACTCGCTGGGTACCGCCGTCACACCAACACTGGAGAGCCGCTCGTCTCGAAGAGGGTGAGTCACTTGTAAACTCAGGTCTTGTGGCTTGTGGAGTGAAGATATGCTCTTGGCTCCGAAGCGAAAACATACTGCGGTGGTGTCCGCTTCCTCCTTTTATACTCACGGGGTGAGGCGGAGATACGCTATGCAAATTCCGCAGACCCATGGCATTTCTTTGCCATTGGCTCGTATTTTAATACTCGAAGAGGATTGGCTTTCTATGCGAAACCCCCCATTCTCCGTCACTCCTGACGTAACTCGGAGTGACTACGAAAGGGAACTAATTTTCTTGTGAACCGACAAATTGCTTCATAAACAGTCTTGTTCTGTACTACACCAGAATGAGTGAAGCACATGGGTGAACTTCCCAAAGAACGAAGGGCAGTAAAACTGATTGGCAATACTGTGGTTGAGAATGCCATCTGGCCATATCAACATGCCTAAGTCTCCGATGCAATCAACCTGTTTCTGGGCTGTGTTTTTTTACCCTTTTGTGTGTTTTTTTTTCTTTAACTAACCTTTTACATGTTCTATTGCTTAAGTCAAAATCTAAATATTGTGAGCCCCTTGGAATTATTTGTTTTTCTGTTTGTGTTGCTCTTGAAATGATATTAACTAAATCACTAGCAGCCTATTGGCAAATAAAATTATGCTGACACAAAAGGTGCAAAAGATTTTAAGTAATAAACGTCTGTCTGTGAGTATGTAGGTGTCCCTCACATATAACTGACCACTCATCGCAATGACCCAAGATTTAAGCTGTGGCTTGCGCAGGGAACGGGGATGTCCTCGATTTTACAAGCTACCAGTACCAGTACTAGGCCTACAGGAACGCGGTGCAATTCATTTCAACACATAGCCTATTTAAAAATATATATATAAAGGCCTAAATATACATTAAAAAAATCTTAAGATATTCTACATGACTACAGCTAGCAAGAAACGTTGCGTACAATGGGTACCTAGTTAATGCAACTTGAAGTCCTAGCAATTATGGAGAAATTAACATTGAAGCACTTAACAGGATTACAGGGCCCTGTGCAACCGACACTGGTGTAAAAAAAGATAAGCTTTTGATAGCAATTAACTTAGTCTTAGTCTTAACTTTGGTGTTTCGGAGGAATCAACAATTCACATAACACAAGCTGGAAATAGCGTTACTTACCAATCTGCTGACTGTGAACGTCAACCGCAATAATACAAAAAAGGGCGCAATTCTGGGATGTAGCCTGCATGAGGAAGTAGACCTATGACGCGTCACAGCAATGACATAATTTTCTGGATATTAATTAATAAAAATAATAGAAAGAATCCTAATATGCCTACATTTTATGTTAAAATGAGTAGCCTAGGCCTAGAAATAATATCAGTTTAACAATATTTAATATTGTTACACAACAAAACTTTAAAGTCCATGGTTTTGGATATTTTAATTCCAAACTTAATAGCAATGGAACACATTGACATTGTAACACAGTCGACCTGAAGTTTTCAAATTTCTAAATGAGCAAACAACAAAAGCAACGCATAGAACGAGACCAAGTTGGCCGTGGGTCCACCACAGATCCATTCCAGATCCGTGGTAATGATAAAAGGCATTTAATTGCCTGCAATGTTGGGAACGTGATCAAATTGAATTTTACAATGACAGGGCAAATGTCTAGTTAATTAGGCTGCATTATCATTGTAGGATAACAGAGTTGACCTGATGAATTAATTTAAATGAGCAAGTTCATTAAAACATTCAGTGAGTGATGGAACTTTAGTAAGGCTAACAGAATCAAACTGAATTTTTATAATGGCAGGACAACATAGGCTGCCAGGTTAACATGGCATATGGTGTATAAATCTAAGTGAAAATGCTATTTCAAATGCTGCATTTTTAATTAAGAAAGCACATCCGTTGGGTGAGACCTGTTCTCTGTCATTGAAACGGGTATCCGTGTGTGGACCACAGAAGATGAGTGTCATTGACTTGCGCTGTAGTTATCCGTGGTCTCAGCACAGACTCACTCCGTGCCCCATCACAGATTTTAGTTCTGACCGTAGCCAAGCGAGCAATAGGTGTAAAACGCCATCAAACTGCATTTTATGATGACAGGACGAGACAAAACGTCAAGTTAATTACATGCCATTGCAACAGAGTCGACATAAAGCTTGAGTTTCTAAACAAACCAGCCACATTACAATGTCCATGAGGTCAGGTTGTTGAGGTCCGTGGCGCCATCACGGGAAACAGGTTAGGCTAGCTGAAACAAACTGAATTTGTATGATGGCAGGACAGTGCAACAATAACAATGTGGTTTTTGATGTTGGAAAAGAAACTAACACTTTTGCATTTTTAATTGAGAAAGCACGTCCGTTGGGTGAGATCTGTTCTCTGTCATTGAAACGGGTATCCGTGTGTGGACCACAGAAGATGAGTGTCATTGACTTGCGCTGTAGTTATCCGTGGTCTCAGGACAGACTCACTCCGTGCCCCATCACAGATTTTAGTTCTGACCGCAGCCAAGCGAGCAATAGGTGTAAAACGCCATCAAACTGCATTTTATGACAGGACGAGACAAAACGTCAAGTTAATTACATGCCATTGCAACAGAGTCGACATAAAGCTTGAGTTTCTAAACAAGCCAGCCACATTACAGCGTCCATGAGGTCAGGTTGTTGAGGTGCCATCACGGGAGTTCGGTTAGGCTAACTGAAACAAACTGAATTTGTATGATGGCAGGACAGTGCAATAGCAACAATAACAGAGAGGTTAACGTCATTATGGTTTTTATTGTTGGAAAAGATACGTCTCGGTTACGGATGTAACCCTCGTTCCCTGAGTAGGGAACGGAGACGTTACGTCAGAAGTGACGGAGATGGGGGTTTCACATAGAAAGCCAATCCTCTTCGAGTATTTAAAAACGAGCCAATGGCATGTAATGCCTTGGGGCTGCGGAAATTTGCATAGCGTACTCCGCCCTACTCCGTGAGTATAAAAGGAGGAAGTGAACGCAACCGCAGTATGTCTTCGCTGAGGAGCCAAGACTGAACTCGGCGTCTACCCAGCGATACAGCAGAAGTGGCAGGGAGACGTAACGTCTCCGTTCCCTACTTAGGGAACGAGGGTTACATCCGTAACCAGGGGCGTAGCACCAAATTCTGGGCCCTGTACACTCTCAATGTCAGTGGGCCCCCTACACATGGCATTGTACGATGCGGGTTAGCAAAGTGAAAATTCAATTTTGAATGAAATGTATTTTTTTAATTATTTGAATATAAACAAATATAAACAGTGTTTAAATAATAAAATCAGATTATAGTAATGACTGGTTCTTTCATTCACCACCTGAATTGATGCATTTGGCCTACTTGTGCTCAAATACCTTTAAACCTTAGGCTACATCGGTTTTGTGTACTAACATTTTGATCCATGATACTGATGCAAGTTTTAAATGAAAAACATTTATTTTTAAATAGGAGAACACAAGAACACGAGAGACAACTGTACCCTCAGAAACCAGGTTAAACTGATGCTACCAACTTTCTCAGTTGGTCGCATCAGCATTTGATTTCGTTGCGGTTATTTTTTTTTTTTTTTTGCTACATGCCATGGGATTAATCAATGCATGCCGATGAATAGTGGTTTTAATGGACCAAAGCCAGCAAAGGCTTACCTGTAATATATTAATTATCATTGACAAATTTCAGGATTTTCATGGATTTTGGACAGTAATTTTAATCTGTAATTTTAAGAATTTTACATTTGAATTACATTCAATCTATCTATTTACATTTGAATCATAATCTTCTGTGTCTGTCATTTTTCTATTAGCATCATATTTCTATCTTTTAAAAATCAATAAACATTCAAATGTACATTACATTTTAAAAGATTAGAGTATTACAACAAGCTAAAACAGATTTTTCGTTATCAAATTTTATAAGTTAGTTCAAAAATCAGAAATCTCACACTCCTTCCTCCTGCATTTTGTAATAATTTGTTTCCTGAGACATTTTCATTTTTATATTTTTATTCATGAATTCGTAATTGGCTGTTCCACCATCAGTGTGCAATCCGCGCGTGACGTCTATGTGTCTTGCGGAAGAACACTGTTGCCGGAGCTACTTCTCTCCATTAATGTCTATGGCGAGTCACGCAGTCACTGGGCAACTTCGCATCCGAGTCAACCCCGGGAATCCGGGATAAAAAAATAGTCCGAATATAAACACTTGTAACAGGCGTAGTGATTCAGGATAAGTCAAAAACACGGTTTGGAAAATGGATTCATGATGTAGCCTACTCGTTCGTTTTGAACATAAGTTACGGACTGCAGTCTGCAGCAGCTGATACAACGGTCGGTCTTCTTTTGCGCGAGCGTCCACTCGTTATATGCGACGCGACCACATCACATACAATTTTTACTCGCACAATCAAATT